AGAAATTGTTGTTAATGAATCTGTTGATATTCCTTTAATGGTGGAGAGACTTTGGACCGCTGACGTATTTGGTGATACACGCATGCTTGTTGATGACGTTGTTGTAGCAGCTGTACTTAAAGACTGTGTTGTGAGGTTCCCACAGTTTTCATCACAGCACAATGCTCTAATCTCATAGTCATAGCATTGCTGTGCAAGTCCTTGGTGTTTGTTTAAGCAAACTAGTCCATCTTTTGTATTGCATTTTACAACCTGGCCAAGCTGTGTAAGAGGAACTCCAGGATAACGTTTTGCACGACATTGTATTTCCCTTAGTGCTGGACAGATGCTAAGAGAGTTGTCAGTTATTCTTTCAATAGATACTATTTCACCACCGTCAATACCTATTGTTGGGCCACCAAAGTCATTCCAAACTGACCAATTGCAATTACATCCAGGGCTAAGAGTAGGGTTGCTTGTTTTCAATGTTGTGGTTGTTAAAGAAGTCATTGATGGAGTTGTAGATGTTTGTAATGTTGGAGTTGTGGACATATTTGTAATATTAGAAAAGTTCTGGACTGAAGATTTTTCAGTCTGCAGTGTAGTCATGCCAGTTGAAAATGTTGGAGAAGCTGTTGACATTGTTGTTGGAGTTGTGGGTATGCTTTTACCAGTAGGGTAACTATGAACTGTTGGTGTTGTAACACTTAATGTTAATCTGCTTGTTGAAGAAATTGAAGGTTTGGTAGAAAGTAATGTGGAAGTTGCTGCTGGAGTTGTTGATGTGCTTATGCTTGTGGTGGAAATATGGCGTGTTGATGTCGTAGTTAGTGGTGTAGGCATGCTGTTTAAAAAAGTTGAAGGTGTACTAGAAGAAATTGTTGTTAATGAATCTGTTGATATTCCTTTAATGGTGGAGAGACTTTGGACCGCTGATGTATTTGGTGATACACGCATGCTTGTTGATGACGTTGTTGTAGCAGCTGTACTTAAAGACTGTGTTGTGAGGTTCCCACAGTTTTCATCACAACACAATGCTCTAATCTCATAGTCATAGCATTGCTGTGCAAGTCCTTGGTGTTTGTTTAAGCAAACTAGTCCATCTTTCGTATTGCATTTTACAACCTGGCCAAGCTGTGTAAGAGGAACTCCAGGATAATGTTTTGCACGACATTGTATGTCCCTTAGTGCTGGGCAGATACTAAGAGAGTTGTCAGTTATTCTTTCAATAGATACTATTTCACCACCGTCAATACCTATTGTTGGGCCACCAAAGTCATTCCAAACTGACCAATTGCAATTACATCCAGGGCTAAGAGTAGGGTTGATTGTTTTCAATGTTGTGGTTGTTAAAGAAGTCATTGATGGAGTTGTAGATGTTTGTAATGTTGGAGTTGTAGACATATTTGTAATATTAGAAAAGTTCTGGACTGAAGATTTTTCAGTCTGCAGTGTAGTCATGCCAGTTGAAAATGTTGGAGAAGCTGTTGACATTGTTGTTGGAGTTGTGGGTATGCTTTTACCAGTAGGGGAACTATGAACTGTTGGTGTTGTAACACTTAATGTTAATCTGCTTGTTGAAGAAATTGAAGGTTTGGTAGAAAGTATTGTGGAAGTTGCTGCTGCAGTTGTTGATGTGCTTATGCTTGTGGTGGAAATATGGCGTGTTGATGTCGTAGTTAGTGGTGTAGGCATGCTGTTTAAAAAAGTTGAAGGTGTACTAGAAGAAATTGTTGTTAATGAATCTGTTGATATTCCTTTAATGGTGGAGAGACTTTGGACCGCTGATGTATTTGGTGATACACGCATGCTTGTTGATGAAGTTGTTGTAGCAGCTGTACTTAAAGACTGTGTTGTAAGGTTCCCACAGTTTTCATCACAACACAGTGCTCTAATCTCATAGTCATAGCATTGCTGTGCGAGGCCTTGTTGTTTGTTTAAGCAAATTAGTCCATCTTTTGTATTGCATTTCACAACCTGGCCAAGCTGTGTAAGAGGAACTCCAGGATAACGTTTTGCACGGCATTGTACATCCCTTAGTATTGGGCAGATGCTATTAGAGGTGTCAGTTATTCTTTCAATTGGTACTATTTCACCACCTTCAAGGCCTGTTGTTGGGCCATCATAGTCATTCCAATCTGACCAATGACAAAAACAATCAGGTCTAGGAGTAGGGTTACTTATTTTCAAAGTTGTGGATGTTGGAGAAGTTGTTGATGGAGTTGTAGATGTTTGTGTTGTAGACAAACTTGTAATACTGGAGAAATTCTGGACTGAAGATTTTTCAGTCTGTGGTGTAGTCATGCCAGTTGAAAATGTTGGTGAAGGTGTAGACATTGAGGGTATGCTTTTACCAGTAGGGTAACTATGAACTGTTGGTGTAGTAACATTTAATGTGAATCTGCTTGTTGAAGAAATTGAAGTTTTAGCAGAAAGTATTGTGGAAGTTGCTGCTGTAGTTGTTGGTATGCTTATGCTTGTGGTGGAAACATGTTTTTTTGATGTCGTAGTTAGCGGTGTAGGCATGCTGTTTGAATAAGTTGGTGAAGGTGAACCAGCAGATATTATTGTTGATGAATCTGTTGATATGCATTTAATGGTGGAAGAACTGTTGACCACGGATGTACTTGGTGATACATGCATGCTTGTTGATGACATCGTTGTAGCAGCTGTACTTAAAGACTGTGTTGTAAGATTCCCACAGTTTTCATCACAACACAATGCTCTAATCTCATAGTCAAAGCATTGCTTTGCAAGGCCTTGGTGTTTGTTCAAGCAAACTAATCCATCTTTTGTATTGCATATCACAACCTGGCCAAGCTGTGTAAGAGGAACTCCAGGATAACGTTTTGCACGGCATTGTACATCTTTTAGTGCTGAGCAGATGCTTGGAGATGTGTCAGTTATCCTTTCAATAGGTACAATTTCACCACCATCAAGACCTAGTGTCGGGCCACCAAAGTCAATCCAATCTGACCAATGACAGTTACATCCAGGGCTAGGAGGAAGGATGCTTGTTTTTAATGTTGTGAATATTGGAGAAGTTGTTGATGCAGTTGTAAATGGTTGTGTTGCTGGTTTTGTGGACATGCTTGTAATGCTTGAGGAATTCTGGACTGAAGATTTTTCATTCAGTGAAGTAGTCAAGCCATTTGACATAAATGGTGAATGTGTAGATATGTTTGAATTAGTGGTCATGCTTTTACTCGTAGGGGAACTCTGGACTGTTTGTGTTGTAACTTTTGGTGTAAATATGCTTGTTGAAGAAACCGAAGGCATGGCAGAAATTATTGTGGAAGTTGCTGCTGTGGTTGTTGATATGCTTATTCTTGTGAATGAAATATTGCTTGTTGATGTTATAGTTGGTGGTGTAGGCATGCTGTTTGAAAATGTTGGTGAAGGTGTACCAGCAGAATGTGTTGAATAATCTTTTGTGATACTTGTAACAGAAGTCAAACCTGCTGGTGTCATATTTGGTGGTAGATGTATGCTTGTTGTTGACATTGTTGTAGCAGCTGTACTTAAGGACTGTGTTGTGCTGTTTCCACAGTTTTCATCACAACAGAATGCTCTAATCTCATAATCATAGCATTGCTGTGCAAGGCCTTGGTGTTTGTTCAAGCAAACTAGTCCATCTTTCATATTGCATTTCACAACCTGGCCAAGCTGTGAAAGAGGAACTTCAGGATAACGTTTTGCACGGCATTCTACTTCCTTTATTGCTGAACATATCCTAGGAGACGTTTCAGTTATTTTTTCAATAGGTACGACTTCACCACCTCCAGGACCTTTTGTTGGGGTACCAAAGTCCTTCCAATCTGACCAATGGCAAATACATCCAGGGTTAGGAGTAAGAGTGGTTGTTTTCAATGTTGTGGATGTTGGAGAAGCTGTTGAAGCACTTGTAGTAAATGCTTTTGTTGACAGAGGTGTTGATTTGCTAGTAACAGTGTAGGATTTTTGAACTGTTTGTGGTATAGGCGTGCTAATTGACAAACTTGGTGAAGGTGTAGAAGTAGAAGTTGTTGTTTTTGGAGTTGTAGATATGCTTGTAGTAGTGGTGGATGTACTGAATGAAAATGCGGTCTTTGTTGGAACAGTTTCCACAGTGTATTTGGCTGCAACAGTTGTCTCTGGAATAATGTATTCAAAATTAAAATATTTAATGTAATCAGAACACTTGATTATACAAAGATAATTACAATTACACTTTATGACACTTTAAAAATCATTTAGCTGTTTGCTGCAATGAATTGCAAACAGTGATGCAGCATCTGCTTTCTCAATCCTCAGGATTGGTGAATGACTCACAAACACTGTACGGTACATTTTAAGGAACCATTTGTCCATTTTACTGTCAAAATGTAGGCTCACTTTTGGCCAGCATTACACGCATCACACGCATGACCAGCGTCGGCCAATAGTGAGCCTACGTTCTGACGTACAACCCAGAAGCGCTGTGCTGTTACACTACGTTCCTCCACCAATCACTCAGAGGCCCACACAGAAGAAAATGAATAGTTATGAATATGAATATTAATATGAATAGTTCTGAAAAGTTGCCAACCTTTTAACTCACGGAGACATATAACTATATAAAGACTAAAAACTTTTGGTACTTGAGAAGACAGTAGTATAATAGTTACCTGTTGTTTTACTGGAGAAGTCAAATGTAGGAATTGAACTATAGGTTGTTGATGGATGAGATGTTTGACAAGTGTATGAATCTTTTTTAATTATTCCTTGTTCTTCACAGACAGCTGTCATGCAGCTGCCAAGTCCATCTGTAGTATTGTATATTGTAACACCATATGGATATTTTTTCCCTTTGAATATGCAGGTGCATGCTGCAAATTTAGGAATAAAGACATTTACTCAACCAGTAAAGTGCCTAATTAAAGATAGAAGAAAACAGAAGTGTAAATATTTTTTTTTTCTTACCTGTTGCATTGTATTTGCAGTTGATATCCATGGAATCGCAATAGCTATAGAATAAACCATTTTAAAATTAAAACTATATTTTATGACAGTGGGCTGAAATTCATGCAATGAAATTCATGACATAAAATGAAAGCATACCATTCTTGACAGTTTTCTGTTGAAGGAACTCTCTCATGATTCCTGTAATGTTCCCCCTTGTTATCATAGCACCCACATTGCTCACTTTTAACACATTTCATTGTATCTTCATCAAAGTAAGGATTTCCAGAGGGACATTTGGGGTAACAACCTTATAAAATAAGGAAAAATGTGCAAAAAAAATACAAAACAGAGAATTAATTATGTTACCTCTATGTGACATAGATTGCTAGGCAGGGGCACTGTAAGGCTGATCGGGCCCCAAATTATTTTTATATATTATAAAATGTATGCTTTAAATTTAAATTTGCTGTTTGTTTAAATTTAAATTTATTGTATTAAAGTCGCCCAAAGGAGCAATTTTCTCAAATAAGACAATCTAGGCTAATATGCTTTATTTATTTTTTTACCACATTCTGTATGTGAAAAAAGAAAGAGTATTTCTTGCTAGCACAGGACAATACTGAAAATGAAAATATCTCAACAGGAAAATACTGACAATGAAAATTTCTCAAGCATCTTTGGCCAAAAAATATTTAAGGGCAAGGGGGTAACATTTCTTGCAGAATGCACACAGTGTACACATAGACTGTTTGGTTGAACAAAATAATTAAGAGGACATTTACATTTTTATGTGCCCTTTCTGAAATCCATGTTTATGGTAAGCACACATGCTGTGGGCTTCGTACCCTTTCTATGTGGCTCAGACCCTGATGGGCTGAGGTGCGGTCGTAGATGGCCATCCAGCCCAAGGGATCAGGAGAGGTCATCTCGATTGGCACATCAATTGCCACAAATTGATGGCTGTTTGTCTGACCCTTAAAGGGTTAGTTCACCCAAAAATGAAAATTCTGTCAGTATTTACTCACCCTCATGTTGTTCCAACCCCGTAAGACCTTCGTTCATCTTCGGAACACAAATTAAGATATTTAAGATATTAAGATCGCTCCTGCATACAGTCCATAGGCTTCTTGAGGGACTGGCTCTTGCTGTCCTCGAAAAGTCATTAAAGACATCGTTAAAATAGTCCAAGTGACTACAGGGGCTCAATCTTAAGTTTATCAAACGACGAGAACACTTTTGTGCGCAAAAAAACAACAAACATAACGACTTTATTTCAACTATTCGTTTATTTCTCCCTCTGCGCGAGTCAGGTTACTAGTTTAATAGCGTAAGCTTCTGTTATTGTACGTCACACGCATCACACGCATCACACACACATGACCAGCGTCGGCCAATAGTGAGCCTACGTGTGACGTAGCTCTACGCAATCACACTACGTTAACTGACTTACAGGCTCATGGAGAAGGAAGTGAATAGTTAAAATAAAGTCGTTATTTTTGTTGTTTTTTTGCGCACAAAAGTGTTCTCGTCGTTTGATAAACTTAAGATTGAGCCCCTGTAGTCACTTGGACTATTTTAACGATGTCTTTAATGACTTTTCGGGGACAGCAAGAGCCAGTCCCTTAAGAAGCCTTTGGACTGTATGCAGGAGCGATCTTATTATGTTTAATATCTTAATTTGTGTTCCGAAGATGAACGAAGGTCTTACGGGGTTGGAACAACATGAGGGTGAGTAAATACAGACAGAATTTTCATTTTTGGGTGAACTAACCCTTTAACTTCCTCCAAAAGTTAAGGGGCTACTATATCCTAGTGCAGGTGAGCAACACTATGGTAGTTGCCTACATAAATCTGAACAGGATAGCACAGCAGGTTCTGCTTTGGACTCAGGACAAGTTCCTGGCCCTCAGGCTGATTTACACCCCTGGGAAATTCAATGTGGGACAGACTTTCTTTCAGGCTGTGACACACAGGGAATGTAAACATCCCCCTGAGGACCATGGAGAGATCCCAAATAGGAACCGAAGGTGGGCATGGTGGATTCATCCTTCTGGCTCCTCTCAGGAAGCGGATGACCAGCTCGTTCCGTCCTAGCGACCGGCCTTGTTTCGACTCAGTGAACGCTGCAACGGCCGCCACGTAAACTTTAAGCGTGGAATGGGACCTGCCTTTATCCAACAGCTCTTGAAGTAAACCGAGCACCTGCGAGACCTCACCCGTACAGTCCAAATTTCTGTCGGTGCACCATTTGGAGAACACAGACCATTTAGATGCATAGAGCTGTCTCATAGAGGGAGCTCTGGACATCGTGATGGTGTTCATCTGATCAACACCTTCTGGCAGGACAACAGGTATCCGTTGATTAACCATACGTTCAGAGATCAGCGCTCTGATCGGGATGCCAGATTGAGCTGCAAGGCTCGCGGGGCTATGAGGAGCACCGGTTGGTGCGATTCCATGATTCTCTTCATTACCTGTGGTAACACTGAGATTGTAGGGAAAGCGTACAGAGGGCGGCTCGGCCAGAATTGGGCCAGCATGTCCTTGTTCTTCGAGAAGAACACTGGGCAATGAACGTTCCATTTCCAGACAGTTTATGTGAAGGCGTTTCTCTCGGTCTGACCACAGGCCAAAGACCGGTCTGCCCTCGAAAAAGCCGCCCCAACCTGAGTTAGAGGCGTCTGTGGAGATGACTTTTCGGTGAGAAATCACTCCCATAGTCACCCCCTGATGGTACCAATTAGCTGCTAACCAGGGCTGCAGAGCTGAAATGCAGCACTGAGACACTCTGATCCACTTGTAGCCACGCGTCCATCCTTGGTGAGGTATGTGGGTGTTCAACCAGTGTTGTAAGGGGCGCATGTGCAGTAAGCTCAGCTGAAGCACTGCTGCAGCTGAGGCCATACAGCCCAGCATCCTCTGAAATGTTTTCAGGATGGCCGTGAGACCCAAGCTTTCTAAATGACTGAGGAGCATAGTTCTGTGACATACTGTGCTAAACTGTGCTCCGACTGTGCTAAAATCAGCGAATCGTCCAAATAGTTCAGAATTCGCACACCCTGATTTTTCAAGGGGGCAAGTGCCATGTCCATGCACTTTGTGAATGTACGGGGTGCCAGGGACAGGCCGAACAGGAGGACGGTATACTGATATAGCTGGCCGTCAAAGGCGAATCTCAAGAATGGCCTGTGACGGCGTATAATCTGAATCTGAAAATAAGCGTCTTTCAGATCGAGAGATATAAACCAGTCTCTGTCAGAATCTGTCTGGTTGTGATCATTTTGAACGGTCTTCTCATGAGAACTTTGTTCAAAAATCTCAGATCTAAGATAGGTCTCAGACCAGGTTCTCAGTCCTTCTTGGGTACGAGAAAATAATGACTGTAAAAGCCTGACTTGCTCAGAGAAGGCGGTACCGGTTCTATGGCCCCTTTGCACAGCAGTTTGGCTATTTCTGCGTGGAGTAGATGTGCTACTTCTCCATTCATTGTTGACTCGGTCCGTGCAACGAAACGCGGGGGACGGTGAGTGATCTGATGTGCATTGCCTTATTGTGCTTAGCACTCACTCTGAAACCCCCGAAATTGCTTCCCATGCTTTTGCATGTGTAGCCAAGGGGAGAATGGTCTCCAGGTCCTGATCGCCACACACTGTAGGCTTGGGGAACTGAACCGGAGATGTGGGTGCAGCGTGCGCGCCCTCTGTGCTTGAACAAAGCAACTTTCTGACAGCCGCTTTCGGCTGATTCATCTGTAATGATCTGATTACACCGAATGGGGAGCATTTGAAGTGCAAGCTGCATTTGAGGCGGAGCGATTGGCAGTAAGCGCAAGCACTCATGAGGTATGAGTAGGGATGGGTACCGAAACCCGGTATTAAACGGGCCCTGGTGCTGAATTTTGAAAGACCGCTGTATCGATAAGCTCGGACGTTATCGGTTCTGCTGTCGGTACTGTAGAAATTATTTATCATTTATTTAAAGACGTTATCTTGAACATGTTTATATCGCCAGTGTGACGCTGTGCGGAGAAACAGAGCTGAGGCTGGGTCCAAACGCAGTGTAGCTTTATTAAACAAACTTGAAACAAGATAACAAAACTAGAAGCAGGACTTGAGAAACTTGAGAGCACCAACGTAACACACATAAATTCAACAACCAACAAAGACAGGGCAGAAACACAGGGCTTAAATAATCAAGGACAAACGAGCTAGACAAGATAACAAGGGGGCGTGAGAAATGAGAAACACCTGGGATAAATAATAGACGGGCAATAACTAATAACGAAAACACACAAAATCACTTCGTGACATAGCCTCCCCCCTATGGGCGGCTCCCGACGCTCATACAAACATCAAAAAGTTCAGGAGGGCGGTGAAGCGGAGACAGTCTTGGGGGAGGGACGGAGGGCCAGGCCCGTGCAGGGGAACAGGACCAGGAGGTAGCCAAGGCGGGCCTGGGCCGCAGAGCATGGGCCTACCAGACTGGGCCGGAGACCAAGGCGGAGCAGGACGAGGCGGAGGCCAGGGCGGAGCAGGACGAGGCAGAGGCCAGGGCGGAGCAGGACGAGGCAGAGGCCAGGGCGGAGCAGGACGAGAAGGCGGCCAGGGCGGAGCAGGACGTGAAGGCGGCCAGGGCGGAGCAGGACGTGAAGGCGGCCAGGGCGGAGCAGGACTTGATGGCGGCCAGGGCGGAGCAGGACGTGATGGCGCCCAGGGCGGAGCAGGCTCAGGCAGAGACGAGGGCGGAGCAGACTCAGGTGCGGTCCATGTCAGTGCCGCCTCCATGGCCCCCACAGAGTACCTACTGCCCCCCCCAAAAAAAATACTTGGGGAAATTCACGGGAGGAACCTCTGGGTGGTGAACGGGTACAGGAAAGGCCTCCCGGAGCTTGAAGGGTGCAGGCAGAGCGAGGCGCAGAGGCGGGACTGGCAGAGCGAGGCGCAGAGGCGGGGCCGGCAGAGCGAGGCGCAGAGGCGGGGCCGGCAGAGCGAGGCGCAGAGGCGGGGCCGGCAGAGCGAGGCGCAGAGTGAGGCTGGGTCCAAACGCAGTGTAGCTTTATTAAACAAACTTGAAACAAGACACAAAACTAGAAGCAGGACTCGAGAAACTTGAGAGCACCAACGTAACACACATAAATTCAACAACCAACAAAGACAGGGCAGAAACACAGGGCTTAAATAATCAAGGACAAACGAGCTAGACAAGATAACAAGGGGGCGTGAGAAATGAGAAACACCTGGGATAAATAATAGACGGGCAATAACTAATAACGAAAACACACAAAATCACTTCGTGACAGCCAGCCTTTTCTATATATAAACTATATTTTAATTAAACCATTTGTCTGTGATGCAAATTTGAAATTCGCAGTTCAGCAGAGAGAGAGAGAAGAGAGAGAGCGATCTCTCACGCAAAGACAGCACGCGCAACACGACAGCCCTGCTTAATGAGTGACAATGAGGACAGAACTAAACATTCAACGTGGTTACACTTTAGATGTGGGATATTATTCTAATATATTTTGTATTTCGGCTTCCAAAGATTATAAAAAGAAGATATTTGAGATAAAACCGTTAAAAAACAAGACGCATGATCTGTCCAGCTTAACTTCCTTTACTTCACAGCACTGCTGAGCGCTGTCAGTTCTTCCTAAAACCCAAACGTACCGTCAGAATCAGCACGATCGGCGATTGTTGCAAAATGCTGTCTTCTACTGTTGCAAGATAAAAAAATGGCTATTAAAAACACAAAAGCCTGCGCAAGAGCCTGTTCACAAGGTGGTGCGCGCTCCGAAACGGACTGTAACAAGACAAGAAAAGTAGCCTATACTTTGGGCTTCGTGTGTCCTCCTTAACTATCAAATATACATACAAATGTCAAAATGACCAGCTCTGAGATTCGCTTAAACACAGTTTATTCACTTAAACACAATTATGTCTTAAATGGACGTAAATAATAGGGAGAAATTGATGGTGCTTCAGTTACCGGTTACCGATTAGATTTGCTCTCGGTCTTAAAGGGGCAGCAGTCTAATAGCCTAAACCTGCTGACGATTCAGCCATTAATGCAAATCAAACAACAAAAGGCAGAAAAAATCACTCACAGCTTTTGAATAAGTAACTTTAGATTTAATAAGCATTAATCTATCTATGATAAACTATACAGTGCTATTTTATATTTGATTACTAAATTAGGTTTCTTTTCGGACAGAAACAATTACCTGAAAAGATATGTTAGTACACCTTCCTGAAATTAATGCACTTTTGTAAATAATTTGTATCTTTGATTGATTTTATTCTTGTGTTTTTACTTGTTTTTTTTCTTATGTGTCCTTTTTGTATATAAAACAAAAAAGCCTGCACATTGCTGCATAACAAAAATATATTTTTCTTCGTTTTGCTTTTTCTATTTTACATTTCAAAATATAGAGTTTAATTATGTTCTTAATTCTTAAAAAAAAAAAAAAAAAAAAAAAAACACCAAAAAGAACCGATAAGAATACCGTTAAAGTACCGGATCAATAAGCGGTATCGGTAAGAGTAGTAATACCGATAAAACCTTAACGATACCCATCCCTAGGTATGAGTGTAGTGTGGACTGACAAAGTGTGACGTTTTGACGGCAGTCCGGGCGCAGCAGGACTCAACCGTCTTTTTTCCCCTAATATTAGGAGGGCATCGCTTGCTCAGACTTCAGTGCAATCCTCAGCTTGTGACGGCTGTCTGAGCGCAACCTAGGATGGCTGCCCTGTCGTCACTGCGAAGAGGCAGACTTGGCTGGACGCTGAGTAGAACTCCAAGCAGGTGGCTTGTCACATAAGCAGCCAGTGGCTGAACTCGAGTGTCATGGCAGAAACAGATTCATGGCCTGCGAGCGTGTTGAGGAAAGTGGCGTCAGCCAGAGGTGCCTTCTCTGTGACAGTGAGCACAGCCATGCATCTGCCAATGGCCTGTGCTGCAGTCTTACTGGTGCGAAGGGAGAGATCTGTCACGCTCCTCAGATTGACGACAGCAGCTGGATCTGAGACCTTCTCGTTCCATTCGTGGAGGACGTCGGCTTGGAGGATTTGGAGAATGGCCATTGAGCGCAGGTCAGAAGCAGCTTGTATGGTGGGAGAGAAGGTGCGGCTGACTACTGCTGACGTGGTCCTGCAGGCTTTTGACGGGAAGGCAGACTTTGAGGGCCATGCACTGGAGGGTGGGCAAAGGTGCGCTGCGACTGCCTCTTCTACTTGGGGAAGTGTACCCCTTCTCAGCAGCGCCATCCATGTGGGAGAACGTCACGGAGATACTGGTGTGGAGTCTCGCAGAGAACGGTGCATTCCATTATTTTGAAAGCTCTATGTGGAGCTCCGGCAAGAAGGGTGAAGGCCTTGATGCAGCTGGCTGATGACGGCGTTGGAGAAAACATCCACCAAGACGATTAGGCGCGGGCTCCTTGGGCGGTGACTGACGCTGTCGACGGCCTCAAAGGAGCATTTCACCCATTGCAACATTAATCTTTATTGAAAGTGGATCATATATGTAGTCTAAATGTAAAATAATTTTTTTATTTGGTGCCCTGTTGACCGAGAAAAGACAGAAAATAACCAAGGGGCGCTTATATATGAAAAAACTACATGTCCCACAATGCACAGCTCTGCAAGCCACACCCACTAATCCGGAACAGCCTGTCTATGGGAACAGCGCAAACAGAGAATTCACTCTTCCGTCTACAAGGCTAACATTAGCTGTCAACGGAGTTTGAAATTAATTTCACAGAAAATGTCTAGTTGGCTGTGGCAAGCAGGACGATCGAGGGCGAGGGATGTAACTTAAAGGGTTAGTTCACCCAAAAATGAAAATTAAGTCATTAATTACTCACCCCCATGCTGTTCCAACCCCGTAAGACCATCGTTCATCTTCGGAACACAAATAAAGATATTTTTGGAAAAGGTTTAAATATTCCATGTGCCTACAGCGGATCAATTATAAGTTTATCAAGCGACGATAATACTTTTTGTGCGAAAAAAACATAAATAACAGCTTTATTCGACTATTCTATTACTTCCTTATTGGCGCATGCGCGAGAACTGAGACGAGGACGTTCCTTATACATCTCAGGGGAAAATAAGGGAATAAACCATGACCATTCAAAAATATGACTGGGTTTCTAAAGATACAAAGCCTAATGCAAATGGGTGAAGTGACCCTTTAAAGGGTTAGTTCACCCAAAAATGAAAATTCTGTTAGTATTTACTCACCCTCATGTTGTTTCAAACCTCTATGTGTTTATTTGTTCTGCTGAACACAAAGGAAGATATTGGGAAGAATGTTTTAATCAAACAGATCTCATTCCCCATTCTTCACAATATCTTCCTTTGTGATCAGCAGAACAAATAAACACATAGAGGTTTGAAACAACATGAGGGTGAGTAAATACTGACAGAATTTTCATTTTTGGGTGAACTAACCCTTTAACAAGGAGGTGCATCAGTTCAACGTCCACACCAGAACGCGTACGTCCGGACTCCTGGATCTTAGAGGAGTAGGACTGTAGAGAACCAGGCCATTCTTCACAGTCCGAGGCCAGTATAGTGCAGCTGTTGCCAGCGGAGCCCCCGTTCGCCTCGTCCTCTGAAGCTGGAAGTTGACATCTGCGCGTCTTGAGGGAGTTGAACACACGTGTTCTTTTAGAGAGAAGTGTGTGTCACAACGGCGAGCACACACACAGTAAAATCCAATAGCAGAAAAAGGATATGTCGCTGGACATCGTTGCTTGCATGGAAGGCTTGAAGGGGGCGAGAAACCGACCGGCTTCCTCAGGCGCTTTCCTCTGCTTGCAGTTGCTGTTTCAACTGTGGCGGCTTCTCTCTAGATCCATCGGTACGAAGAGCTTTGCTGAAGAGATGAAAATTGGGGAAGCAGCCGACAAACCGTGCTTTTATAAGCTAAGCCACACCCACTTGAGTGGGCTGTGATAAGCAGTGGGTGCGAAGCGCCTCCATTGGGCATGACGTCATGCCAGGCTCAGTGGTTCGCTGCTGCAGTTGCCGCAGAGCAGCCAATGAGCATGCTAGACAGCCTGATCTAGGTCTGATAGCTGCTGCAATTCATTGACAAAGAATACAAAATTAAGGATAATTTTTGGCGTCAATATCTTGAGAAAAGATGACTTTACCCTGTAGCGTAAGCTAAACTTACGCAATACGAGAGAACCTCTTGTAAGTGAACCAGAGGAGCAAAGAAATTAATGAGACTAAATGCAGACAAATCAAATGAAAACCTAAACAATGTGAGCGAGGCTATATTAGTCAAATTAGAAAATGAAGTTGTAGGTTGTGTTTGAATAATTACGTATCTTATTTAGCTGAGGTAAATAAAACGCAATATTCACGTATCCTAGTTCAATTTAAATATAAAAAGGCTAATTTTCGCGCTTCAGGGCAGTGACGAGTATGTTACATGTCGTCCAGTGGTCATCCAGACACCCTACGCACAAACTTAAGCAATGGCCCTGAACAGTGGTTTAATGTCAACATAGTGTCAATAACAACCTTCACCACACAACATAGTTACAGCAACCTTTTGGCCTTATTGTTTAAAAGTTGTTAGAAGGTTGGTTACATCGTGCCAACATTCTGTGTTTGCTGGGTATCTCTCTTTATTGGATTTGATACATACAAACGTTATGAACAAAAATTTAATTTGACTAATAGTGTTCTTTCTGTTTTTCTTTAAAATATTTATAGCTAGATCAATACCTTTATTGTGATTTCTTTTGTGCTATATAATTATGTAGAGAACATCTGTTGTTCATGACAATCCTAGTCCTACACAACAATATCCCTCACTGTTGCTATCTGCCTGAACCCCAACACACCTTTTTGGATTAAAAAAAAGTGTTTCTGTTGTTGTTTTTCAGTTAAGTTATCATTTTGTTTACCTTCAAGTGCTAGTATCTGACTTGAGCACTGCCCAGTTGGATTTCTGCAGGTTTGCATACAGGGAGCTCCGCAAGGTTTGTAATGCCACTCGCATTCATCCAAAGGGTTGTAATAATCACAGAACAACGCTGTAAGAAAAAAAAGAAAGAAAGAAAAATAAAAATATTTTGTGCTGGTCTCTTTTATATAATTTGTTTTCAGTTAATCAAATTAAACTGAGAAAATGATCAGTGACTCACGGCATATTTTAGGGGTTCTCCAGGCAATACAGGTTCCAGCCTCATTACAGGCTTGTGCATAGGCTGTAATAGCAGCACACAAACAGTCACGATCCCCACCGCTATCACAAGCACATGAGTCTCTCACACAAGCATTATAAAAATGACTGGGATCCACCTTAATGAGACAAATATAATTAGATTATCTATACAAAAACAAATGGGTTTTGTACAAGCTCACTATGCTGTTAACTTACTTGAGAATGACATGTTGTGAAAACTTGACTTGTAATGATACTACATTGTTTCTGAGCCCATGATTCCCTGTAAGGGTTATTTGAGCAAGGATTTCTAATTTTCATAGCAACAGGACAGCTAGAGGACTCTTTCCAATCATTTCCAAAGTCCAAGGGTTCAATTACCACCTCCTGACTTCTCAACATGAATTCGTTGTTTGCATTCCCATCATAGTTCCCACAAAGACCACAAACAGTACCCTGTGATGGAACAAACTACATATTAACTAACACATATATCAAAAACATCCAATAACTTTTCAAGACAGCTAATTCTAACAATAAACTGTAAACTGTAATCTCTGAGGAATGTATATTTTTGTACAGTAGTCTCTGAGGGAGTCATTCAGTTATTCAGTCATTGACTCTAAATGTATTTAAAATTGTTATTTATTATTCTCACCTTAAAGTTCGGACTGAGTTTGATGAAGATATTTGTCCTTTGATCCCACATGACAATTAGACCATTGTTTGCCTCAATGACCATGTAAATTCCTCTTATCAAAATTTGATAAGGAATGTCCACCCCCTCATCTCTATGAATAATCTGATAGCCCGTCTCTGTCAATTTAATCTCCTTGTTCTAAAAGAGTAAAATATGTTTATTTATCAACCACATGTGATCTGTTCATAAATATATGTATTAACAAAAAAGAAATATAACTGCATAAATCCAAGGACTCTCACCCCAATGAAGACTCTGACAGCCTTAGAGCAAGTGGTGCCAGTAGTTCCACATGGTATGTTTTCAGTGAAAACACTGAAAGTAGCACTTGCATTGGTACGACCACAATAATCCTGTATAAATCACACAAATTTGTCTCTGTGTTTATATTAATACTGATTATCTTTTTTCTTACAGTTATTTTTATTAATAACATTAGGCAAATCCCTGGACTAAGCTTGGGGTCTGTCAGTTAGTTTCAATAGTTGCACCAACAGTTCAATTGCAAATATATTTAGTATGATGGTTATTATTAGTATTTTATGAATTTTATTGTAAACAAATGAAACCAAAGTGTATTGTGTTTTGTATAGATTTATTGTGTACTTACTCTGATTAATGTGTATCCGCAGTCTCCATCAAAAGTGTATCTTTTCCCATCAAATGTAATGTAATGACCATCTCCATAAACTGTGCAGGTTCCATGGCACAGGTTTTTGGTACATTGCCATTTCCTACCTTTACAGGTACTGCACATACAGATAATTCTTGATGTAAGTATTCCTTAGTATTATGCAAGTTCAATGTATTGATTAACTTTCAAAGTACAGCACACTTCTCTCAAACCCATCAACCAGACTGAGCCAACAAGTACTCGTTAAGTAAGATCTGGGGTTCGAGCCTTCTGACACCCAAAGAGAAACGCGCACGTGATTGGACAGAAAGTGAGGCTTCATTTGTCATCGATCACGTGACTCTGGGAAACCAATACACACCCCGAAACGGGGCTTCAATAGAAATTGCGTTGCATTTGCGATATGCATATCGAAGCTTCAGTGTCATATGTAACATAACTAGCATCTGGATCCCACTCTCCTTCCTTTACTTTTGTTACTTTTGTCATTACAAAAAACAGAGGTTTTACGGGCTTGGAACGACATGAGGGTGAGTAATTAATGACATAGTTATCATATTTGGGTGAACTAACCCTTTAAAGATGCATTTGCATAATATAAAAGAAACCAAGCTTTCCGTAGAACAAACAAAACAAATTTACACATTTTAAAGAGTATCTTACAAACAAATGGAGTTGTTAACTGTCATTCAATGACAGCTGTCAGTGTGAAAACTGTGAAAAGATGTTTTTGGTACATTTTGGACACAGAAGGACCACCTCTCGTCGAGGAGCAATCATGTGGGACTTAAATATGCCATAGAGGGATATATAAAAGATTCTAAAATAAATATGGTGGATAGCATGGAAGCGAGGGTTTACAGATCACAATGCAAGCAGGAGAAGCCTCATGTTATGGTCGTCACAGATGACAACATCCAAGATCAACACTGTTCATATGGGTAAGATTAAATTAATTTACATTTAATCAGTTTAATATCAAGAAGCACTGAATTGTAGCCCAGTCTGTATATGACGTGAGAACAGTTAGATATTTAGGTTTGTACCTTAGCATGGACTCACTAACTTTATTAAATTAATGAGATTATGACAACCAGAAAATAAACGTATTCGTCTTCATTTGGGATTGGGGTTGAATCCTTAGGGAACCAGGTTACTGCGCCCACATCGAAAGGAGACATTTTGTTCTGTCTTGAATGGGTTTAGGAAATGGAATAAAATAAATTCCATTGCCAATCATCCCGGGATACATGGAATCAGTGTTACAAGTGTAACAGAGGCCAGCTAGTTCTTTAGCCTCACTTCTTTAGCCTCCTACATTGATTATATTGGTGCCGTGACCCAGGTGGGAGTGAGCTTTAGGGGTGTGGGTGTAATGGAGGGTATAGTCTTTATCCTCCACGTTAGAGCGCTGGAGACCAGGGTTCAAGGCCCGTGCAGAGCGGGGCGAGTAGGACCTGGGTGAGGGGTTACACAAGTACCCCAGGCACATCATTTTACTATTTTTGACATCAAACCGATAAGAGCTTCGGATCTTCCAATGATTCTCTATGGCTCTGAAACCTAAAGGCTTCCAAGTTCCGGTCCCCGTGCAACTGATACTCAACTGCCATTGGCTCATCTGCGTTCGAGTGAAGGGGCTTACCGATAGGTCAATTTGTTTAATTTATTCAAAGTTTCAAAAAGCTTAGTTTCTCCCATTCCCAGTGAGCTTTTATGTTGGATGCTGAGGTTTTATAAGGTCGGATAGAATCTACGATCTCTGAACCAGTTTCTTTCCTGCCATCCATCGTTGTAATACAATGTCTTTTCCACCAACCGGCAACCCGGTTTGTCGGAATACTATTGGGTAAATTGGGTAAATTGGCAGTGGACGGTATCACACAGACCAAAACAAAAAGGAAACATTCTGATCCGGAACGGATTCAAAAGTAGGAGACAAAAAAATGAAGGTAGTGAACTGAAGGTTTACATAAAATATATATTCACCATTCTTTACAGTTACTTCTGTAAGTTTGTCCAGGTTTGTATATTATTCCATTTTGGATGCAGGGACACTGATTCTTGGCAATACAGCCTCTACCGGTGAGGTCATCAAACAGGTATCCTATAAAAAAAACATATAATGCTGCCATTTGCTTTATGTGGAAGTAATTTTGCATTTGAATGAAAAAAAGGTAAAATCTGACAACTGTACATTTAAAATCAGATTATACCTGCAGGACAGAAACACCCATCTATACAGTGGTCCTTACAAATATGACCTCTGTCAGGGTTTGAACAAGTGTTACTACAAGGGTTTCCACATTCTTGGTGCACCATATTGTGGTAAGGACATGATTTACCTGAAGAGATATACAATGTTAATACCATTCACACTTCAACTTAAAACAGAGTTGGAACAGACTGCTGAACAGTTTTAACTTACCACAGAACTGCTGAGTCCCCCACGAGTCAGGTGTTCCACCTGCCTGTTTACATTGGCGAGAGTATTCTGAGATGGTTCTGCAAAGACAAAAGGATCTGGTCCTGTTGGTGCAGTAGCACATGTCCAATTCACAGGCTTTGATGAAGAAGTCGAGGGGTACGAGGTCCTTACAGCTATTAAAAGGTGGGCCTGAGAGCAGCTGCTCACATACTGATGTCTAGAAAAAGCGTGACGATATGTTGAAATACACAATGAGCAACATAAACATCTGGGCTAAGCATTTGGTAAAGACAAGGTATCATAAATAGTGGTGCTCAACTTCATAGAGATTAATTGTGCTTATCTACAATGCAATTTCATGCTTCCAGTGAACATTTTTTAGATGTTATTACATACTTCTTCTTTCAGACCGTTTAGAGAACATTTAAGAACATTTAGAGAACAAATAAAACATTCTCTTATTGTCTCTAACGTTCGCATAACCAAGAAAATTACAGAATAAATAAGAGAATGGGAGGCTCTCATATTACACACTTTTAATCCTTTCATATGTTGTCAAAGGGTCGGCCAAACATGGAAATTTAGGCTTTTAACATTTCTCATTGGTAAACATGCAAAACCATCTCTTTATGTTTTAATATGTTTCTCAAACAAAACTCTTGAATATCTCTAATTGTTTATAACGCGCTTCACATTAGCAATGAATTTCAAGTTTGTGAGATATACAGCACTCGTTTTGGGTCACTGTCATTCCGTTTGCAATGTATGTGCTTGTGCCTGCCACAGAATGATAAATAAAAATGGTTATCACGACTTATCTCATAATTCCGACTTTTTTTTTTTTTTTGAAATTGCAAGTTTACATCTCAAAATTCTGACTTTTTTCTTAGAATTGCGTGATATAACCTTACAATTGTGAGTTTTAAAGTCATAATTGTGAGATATAAACTCGCAATTTTGAGTTTTAAAGTCAGAATTGAGGTATAAATGTAACAGATGTAAGCCAGCTGTGTGTATAAACCAATCGCCTGGCCTCAGAATGGGTCAAGGAGGACCGGTTACATTTAGTGCCCTGACCCAGATGGGAGTGAGGATTGGGGGGTGAGTGGAACAGACGTAGGCCAGTGAAGGAAGTGGTTGCATCATACACTGTCCTATCATTCGCCAGAGGAGAAGTGGCCCTCGGATATTATTGATCTGCTTGCATTGACACCATTATATGCGAAATAAAGTAAACTAGACGATGACATCACTGTTTTCTCCCGAGAGGCTATAAATGGACTAAATTAATAACTTTTTTACAACAAAAATTAATCATCACTGAACCTACTTAAACTGGACTGTGATGCTATTTTCTTTCAGATCTGCTGAAACAATCTATGTTGCATTTATTTTCTTGTTATCACTGTAAAGCTGCATTGACACAATCTGAATTGTAAAAAGCGCTATATAAATAAAGGTGACTTGACTAGATAATTGTTAGTTTATGTCACGCAATTCTGAGAAAGAAGTAAGAATTGTGAGATGTAAACTAGCAATTGTGAGAAAAAAAGTCAGATAAAAAGATAAACAGTCTCAATTACCTTTTTGATTTTTTTATTCAGTGGCGGAAACAAGCATCCATATGCCATAGCAAAGTTCTTAACAACAGCATAAATGTAAATTCTGTTCTGTGTGGTTTGGTCTGGAAATTATCTGACTAACCAGCCACTGACCAGATTTGTAGGAAAAACTTAAAGAAAAAACATTAATGTCACATTCAAAATGCTGTGGACAGTGTAACGGGTACATTTTAAATTTAATAAAATGAATCTAGATTTGCTTGAAATTGTTAACAATTAACCAGAATATTTTTTTTTCTTAACTGGTGCTATAGGGTCACGCTTCATTGTGCCATGTTTCATTACCTATAAGGCTAATAAAGCTGCCACAGGGGAAGAAAAATAGCAAGAACAAAGACAATAACAAAACAAAAGTAATGTAACAAAAAAAAAAAACGTTTTCTAATAGTGAAGACACGCACACAAAGAACTTACCATTTTTTTGCATGCCTTTGTTGAACTGATCTGTTCCATGCAACCCTCTGTTGAACTATCCATCTTTACAAAGTGTCCATAGCCATTTACAGATCTGTCTGAGTTTCATATAATTATGCATGTAAAACATATTTTAGACTTGTTGTTTTGTATAAAACTCATTGTTAAGTATCAGGTTATGCAACTATGTAATGAATATATATATATATATATATATACACACACACACACACACACACACACACACACACACACACACAGTTGTATTCAACCCCCATTGCAAATCAGGGTTATTGACACAAATTACAACTTAAAATTACATTTTTAATGACTTCTGCAGTTTCAAAATGATTAAACTCCCAAAAAGGAATCACTCACAAAAGCACAAATAAAAATCTGCAAAACAGGTGTTGTCTCAAGCACACATGATGCAACTAATCAAGGGCTTCATTAGTTGCACCAGATGTCCTTGAGCTAGAACACATGAAATATCTGAACTGGCTAGGATTGTTGAGTGTCACGTTTGACTGCATTGCTGCATCCCAATTCGCATACTATCCGTCCTAAATAGTATTCGAAAATAGAATTAGTGCGTCCCAAACCGTAGTATGTTGAAATGAGTGTTTCAAAGATACCCGGATGGTCTACTTTTTCCAGAATCCGAAGTGTAGATCGATGCACACGCTTACGGCTGATATTGCCCACAACCCATTGAGCATTGGATGAGGATTCGGTTAGAGAACGTCTCGGGTTATGACTATAACCCTTGTTCCCTGAGAAGGGAACGAGACACTGCGTCGATAAAATCGACTCTTTGGGGACGCTCCCTAAGCGTGCGCCTCTGAAGTATGAATGAAACTAATCCAATCCTGATTGGTGTTGCGTCGTGACGTAACATGTGACGGCATACCCGGAAGTATAAAAGTGACGCTGTCACAACACACACTGGCCTCGCGATGAAGCAAGACGCTCAAGGGTCTGAAAAGGGGGCGTGGCAACACGACGCAGTGTCTCGTTCCCTTCTCAGGGAACAAGGGTTATAGTCATAACCCGAGACGTTCCCTATCGAGGGAACTCAACACTGCGTCGATAAAATCGACTCTTTGGGGAACGAGTACCCACTAGGCCACGCACCGAACAGACCCGCCCCAGAGTGAAACTGATTAGGCACTCAGCAAGGGCCGAGTACGTGTGCACCGGGCGTACTGGGAAGGCTGAGACTGTAAAACCTGATGAAAGTATGCGGGGTAGCCCAGCCGGCTGCCTCACAAATCTCCTGCAGAGGTACTCCCGACAGAAGGGCCCTAGAGGAAGCCATGCCTCTAGTCGAGTGAGCCCTTAAGGCCAAAGGTGAAGGAACCCCACGCACCTTGTAAGCCTCAGTAATAGCCTGGACAATCCAGTTACTTATAGTTTGTTTGGTCGCCGGGAGCCCCCTCTTAGGTGACCCAAAGCATACTAACAACTGGTCAGATCTTCTCCAAGAAGCAGACTTTTCCAAGTATACACTCAAAGCTCTGACGGGGCAGAGCAAGTGAAGCCTCTCTTCTCCCGCCGACACATGAGGTGGAGGATGGAATGCCTGAAGGACTACAGAGCGAGCCGTACTCGAAGGAACTTTAGGCACGTAGCCCGGACTCGGGTGCAAAAAGGCCTTTACTTTGCCAGGGGCAAACTCCAAGCAAGCTGGCGTTACCGCCAGGGCCTGGAGATCTCCCACCCTCTTAAGAGAGGTAATCGCTAAGAGAAAGACCATTTTCAACGTTAAGTCCTTAGGCGAAGCCGACTCTAAAGGTTCGAAGGGAGCGAGGGACAACCCTTCCAGAACTATTGCCAGATCCCAGGCAGGCACCCTGGACCTGATCGCCGGCCTCATCCTCCAAGCACCACGGAGAAACCTAATGACCAACTGGTGCCTCCCCAGAGGTCCACCATCTACTGGCGCGTGGAAAGCCGAAACGGCAGCCACGTACACCTTAAGAGTGGACGGGGAGAGACCCGCAGAGAAACGATCCTGAAGGAATTCCAGAACTGAAGCCACTGGGCAGTTTACTGGATCCAACCTTCGTTCTCCACACCAAGTGTGAAACACCTTCCACTTGAGGCCATATAATCTCCTGGTAGATGGGGCCCTAGAGCTAAGTATGGTTTCAACCACCTCAGCTGATAAGCCAGCATTTAGGTACTGAACCCCCTCAGAGGCCAGACCCACAGCTTCCACAACTCTGGGCGAGGGTGGAAGATTGTGCCCTCCGCCTGAGACAATAGATCCCTCCTCAGAGGAATCGGCCATGGCGGAGCTATGAGGAGTGATATTATATCCGAGAACCATACTCGTGTCGGCCATCTCGGGGCAACCAGAAGTAGACTGATGCCCTCTTGACGGACCCTCTCCAGGACCCCTGGGAGCAGAGCGATCGGGGGGAAAGCATACAGGCGAAGCCTCGGCCAAGCCTGTACCATGGCATCCAACCCCAGTGGGGCTGGATGTGAGAGGGAGAACCAAAGTGGACAGTGGGACGTCTCTCGAGACGCAAACAGATCCACTTCCATCGGTCCGAACCTCTCCCATATCGACTTCACCACATCCGGATGAAGTCTCCATTCCCCGGGCCTCAGCCCCTGCCTCGACAGGATGTCTGCTCCCCGATTCTGAACCCCTGGGATATACATTGCCCTTATTGACAATATCTTTCCCTGGGACCAAAGGATAATCTGATGCGCCAGTTTGCACAGAGGGCGCGATCTGAGTCCCCCCTGTCGGTTCAGATAGGCCACCACTGACGTATTGTCTGTCCGTATAAGGACGTGGCGACCCTCGATGTGTGGGAGGAAGCTCCTCAAAGCCTTGAATACCGCCATCATCTCCAGGCAATTTATATGCCAAGTGCGATGATGGTCCTGCCACAGACCCCTGGTAAAGCGGCCGTCCATGACCGCGCCCCAGCCCGTAAGGGAGGCGTCTGTCGAAACGGTTTCCCGGCGACATGACACCCCCAACACTGGCCCTTGGGATAGGAACCAAGGCTTCTTCCATATTTGCAGAGACTGAAGGCACTTGCGCGTTACTCTGATCATACGGAACGGATTTCCTTTGGGTGAGAACCCCTTGGTCTTCAACCACCACTGGAGGGCCT